CCAAAAAAAAAAAAGAATGTTTATCTCAGCTTGATTCACAATCACCAAGATATGGAATCAACCCAAGTGCCCATGAATGAATTAATAAACTGTGGTATAGGTATACCATGGAATACTTTTCAGCCATAAAAAAAGATGGAGACTTTACAGCTTTTATACTAACCTGGATAGGGTTGGAGAACATTCTCTTTAGTAAAGTATCATGAGATTGGAAAAGCAAGTATCCAATGCGTTCTATACTAATGTAAAGCCAGTAGCAAAACTAATATACACCCACACAAAAGAAAAATTCAATTCAAGTTGGGGGGTAAGGGAGAGAGGGGAAAACAAAGGGGGACTGGTGTGTTCTCACCTAATGGGGACAATGTAAGGGTACGTGGCACCTCTCTGGGTGAGGGACACAATTACAACAGAAGCATCACCTAACAAATGCAAACATTGTAACTTTGGTGTTTGTACCCTCATATTAATCTGAAATAAAAAATTTTTAAAAAATGACAGGGAAATTTTTATATATTATTTGTTTTTGCTCAACTTGCCTTCAATCAACAGATCTTCCTTGGAGAAATAAATACTTGTTAAAAACACAGATTTCAGCTCTTTGCCACATTTTTAATCTATAGCAACAGTTCTCACTCAGAAATGATCTTGCTTTCCTGGAGAAAGTTGTGGTTGCCATAACTTGGGGAGAGGGAACGCTACTAGCCTCTACTAGGTAGTGGCCAAAGAGGCGGCTAACATCTACAATGCCCAAGACAGCCCCACCACCACAAAGAATGATCTGCCCCCAAGGTTGGCAGTGCCATGTTGGAAAACCCTGATTTTAAGGAAACTGTCATTGCCATGCCTTTCAGATTCCTTATGTCCATCACCCCAGATCTGGTCCTTTCTAGAGACACACCCTACCTAGATCATTCAGGTGACCAGACACAGCCAAGGTCTAGACAGAACCCCTCTGTTAGAGCTTTCAGTGGATCTTGATCAACCACTGAGTCCTACAGAAAAATCCCTGGTGGAAAAATCCTCCTAAATCTTGAGTCTTAATTAAACCCTCAGGAGAAACTCTCCCCCTTAAAAGCAGAATGGTTCAAAATGGATTTTTTTTTTTAAGAATACTAAGAATTATCCTCTTTAGTGAACAATAAACAGCTCTGATGGGCAGCAGGGCCCTGCGGTGGTTAACCCTTTGTGGACCAACCCTGCTGAGGCCTTTGTATAAATGGTACTTCTGTGAACAGATGTGACACCCCACAGCACGGGGACTGCAGCAGACACAAGGGTCCTTTGAGACTAGGGAAAGGGAGGAGGAGATGCTCTTTAGCCCTGGCACCAGGTCACTACGGGATCTGGCTGGCCACCTCCCTTTTTCCTCTAAAACCAGCCAGATGATGACATTGAAGGATGGGGCACCCAAATGCAAAGCTGACATGCAACCATGATGAAGATAAGGAAGAAAAGGCCACAGAACTTCACCTGGGGTTTCTGCTCTGGGCACACTGACATTTACAGCTGGATCATTCTTTACCGTGGGGGGCTCTCTTGTGCACTCTGGGACAGGACATGTGCAATCTCCCTAGGCATTGCCAGTTGTCCCCTAAGGGGCCAAAATTGCCTCAGTTGAGAACCACTGGCGTAAACAGATTCTGAACCCCTGCCCGGGGCAAGCTGGCTCTGACTGGCAAATATTCATGGAATCAAAGAGAAAAGAAACAAACAAAACAAAACTCTGTCACAAAATTAAATAATTCTTCAATGCTAAAAAGCCAGTTAGCTTCCAAGCCCCTGCCTGGAGAGTCAGTATTTTCTTTTCTTTTTCTTGAGAGTCTCACTTTGTCATCCTGGGTAGAGTGCTGAGGTGTCATAGCTCACAGCAACCTCACACCCTTGGGTGCAAGTGATTCTCTTGCCTCAGCCTCCCAAACAGCTGGGACTACAGGTGCCCACCATAATGCCTGGGCTATTTTTAGAGACAGGGTCTCGTTTTTGCTCAGCCTGGTCTTGAAGTACTGAGCTCAAGCAATCTACCCACCTCAGATCCCCAGAGTACTGGGATTATAGGTATGAACTATCACACCCAGCTGAGATTCACTATTTTCTCAAGACTGTGATGCTGACAATAAGAAAGTTTTGGGCTGGACTCCTGTAACTCAAGCAGCTAAGGTGTGTGCCACATACACCAGAGCTGGTGGTTCAAATCCAGCCCAGGCCTGCCAAACAGCAATGACAACTATAATCAAAAAACAGCCGGGCATTGTGGCAAGTGCCTGTAGTCCCAGCTACTTGGGAGGCTGAGGCAAGAGAATTTCTTATGCCCAGGAGATGGAGGTTGCTGTGAACTGTGATGCCACAGCACTCTACCCAGGGCGACAGCTTGATGCTCTGTCTTAAAAAAAAAAAAAGAAAGAAAGTAAGTTAGTTTTGTACATTCGACCGTATCAACTGAGCACCATCTATGTGTCAGGCACTGTTCTGGGCACTGGAGACACAGCAGTGGATGTAAAAGACCAAGCTCATGCTCTCAGGTTGCTTATCCAGGTCTAAGAATGTATAAATCAGGCAATTGCTCTCAAACACTGATTAATCATCCATCATAGGAAGAAACCTAAACTGGATTCAGGAAAATATATAAAAGCCACTACTCCTCACCCCCTGCAGCAAAACCTGTTTGCCATGCCCCAGTGCTTTGGGGCACTGGGGCATACCACCTATTCTCCTCACAGCTAGCCTAAGAGAGCCATTTCTCAGATGGGGACACTGAGGTTCAAAAGGTAGAGAAGAACTGTGGACTCCATGTTAACCACAACTGCCCCAAAGCTCACAGCACTGTAGGAAACACTGCCCACCAAACGCCCTGATCACCCAAGAGGGGGAAGGCTAGCTACTGTCCTGGGGGCCAAATCTCTTCAGTCCAATTTAGTCTTAAGGTTTCCAGTTTATGGGTTTCAGCTGGACTCTGCCCTACCGGCTAATATCTTCTCACAAGGCCACCTAGTGAGCCACCAGGGCAGGGCAGGGCAGAGCAGAGCCTGCATGGAAGAGAAGAAAGCAGGGGCTCAGGTTGCACCCTTTACCCAGACGGAAAGGCAAAGGGCAGGGGCAGATGGTACTGGCTTCTATTTCCCACTTTCCACTCAGGGCCTGCGCTGGGCTGGGTCAGGGGCAAAGAGGGTGGGGAAGATAGAGGGTCTGAAACTTCGCTACCTTCCTAGTACTCCCAGGAACTTTTTCAACATGACTTAAGGGGAAGGAGTCTTCCTCTTTCAGAGCCCAAACTGAGGCAGGGATTCGTGCCAACTACCCCGTGTCTGATGTCACCCCACAAAGCAGCTGCCCTGACCCTGACCCCAGTCCTAAATGGAGGGAAAACGTTAGGTGGCTTCCCCTAGAAAAGGGACTTAGAGTTTTGCAACGCCATCTTCAAAATCCCCTCCCTGCCAGCCCCTTCAGGCTTCCTACTCTTGGAGGGGAAGCGAGAGTCCTTCATCTGGAATGCGGGGACTCCGAGGGGAAGGGTTCAAAGGTTCCTGAGGCTGCGCGGGTTTAAGGAAAAGAGAGGGTTTAGGAAATGGGAAGATGCATTTTAAGGGGAGGAAGTTGAAAACCATTCTGAAAGAGAAAGAGGCTAAAGATAAAAGACTTTGGGGAAAAAGGGGAGGATGCTTTGGGGGAGAGGGATGACTGCGGCAGCAAGAGGGAGTGGAAGATTTGGGGGATCTAGGACTAAGGAGGGATGTGAGGTGTCTGGGATGTGTGGGAAGAGATGGAGAAAGTGACATGTGCAGGGGAAAGGGGATTTTGGGTACCTGATTCAATAAGACTTTGAAGTGTCTAGAGGAGAGATGATTTGGGGATACTCTGGAGAAGGAGGGTTTGAGTGCATCTGGGAGGGCCCCGAGGCAGGGATGCAGGACAGTTCCTTTTTTCACCCCGACTTACCGAAGAAGGGCGGCAGGTGGGACACCGCCTCGAGGAAGGGCCCGGTCTCGATCTGCTTGTCCGCGGGCAGCGGCTTCAGCAGGTGCTCGGCCAGCAGCGCCATTTCGGGATCGAGGCCCGCGGTAATGCCCCAGCCCGCCCCGCGGCCGTCCACGCCGCCACCCGGGCCGCCGCCGTCACCGCCAGGGCCGTCACCACAGCCTTCCGCAGGCTCTAGGGAAGCCAGTTTCGCCACTTCCGCCCGCGCCGCGCCCGGGTAGCCGAGCGCTGAGCGCCGCCCTCTGGCAGAGCACCTAAGCTGGTCCCCGTGCAACCCCGCCCCTGCTACCGGCGCCCAATCCGCACCCACCGCTGTGGGCTTCCGCGCCGCCATTGGCCGGAGGGCGGGGCGTAGAGGAAGCGCGCTGTCTGGCGGGTCCGGGTCTGCCAGAGGGAGCGGCTCCCAGGTGAGTCTTTGGCAGGTGTGTCTTCCCCAGGTGTGCCTCCCGCCGCCCCCGGCATGGCTCCCCAACTCGGGCGGGCCAGGTTGCGCTAGGTCCTCCTCTGATGGGAGCGTGGATCTGACCAGATCACAGCTCACAACCCATTCAGCATCCCAGGTTACAGTCCAACCCAGCCAGAGCTCCTCAAGATCCCTGTTTTCTCCAAAACTGGGCCTATCCTCCCCAAAACTAGAGTAACCTATGGACACTGCTCAGATTGCTATTGGCTACAACCAACGCGGACGCTTCGTTGCTTGGTTCTTTGCTATCAATGACCTTATACCTGTTGGGCACTGCTTAAATCACAAACTAACCCATCGCCCAGCTAGATTCCTGCTTTTCAAATCCCGGGGTCCAGTCTGATGTTATTCGTTCGAAACAGCCCAGTTTACAATCCAATTCGTCTAGCTCCCAACTGGGCGCTTGTTTCCCAAACCTAACCTCACCCTAAGGGCCCAGTGTATATGCTTCTCACAATCTGAATCACAACTCATGTCAACCACAACCTACATAGATGCTTATGTCCTAAAACCCAGTCCCTAGGTCCTCAAAACATCTAACACACCATTATGGAGAGCCTCTTATTGATTCCAAAATAGAGATTTGTTATACTCCTACTATGTGCTATGTATTGTACTAGGCATTGAGGATAAAGTAATGAACAGTACAGCTAAATCCCTGCCCTTGCGGAGGTGCTTTTCAAATTGGGGACACAACACAACAGACAATTGCTAAGACAATTTCAGATACTGGTGAGTATAAGTGAAGAAAATAAAAACAGTCTATTGGCAGAGGATGGCTGAGCCAGGCTAAGACAGGACACAGGGTGTTAGAGATAGTACCTCTGAAGAAGTGACACCTAAGCTGAGACCTGGAGAAGAAGGATTTAGTCAGGCCAAAGACTTGGGCTGAGAAGAGCAAAAGCCAAAGCCTTAGGTGGCAAAAAGGTTGGTGTGTGCAAGGAACCAGAGTGACCAGGGGAGGGGATGGAAGTGGAGTAAGTAAGGGCAAGAAGTGAGTGGAATGATAGGAAGTGAGCAGGGGCTGTTGGGTCAGGTAAGGAGTGGCAAAGAGTTTATATTTTATGTTAAAGGCAATAGGACATTACTAGCACAAGAAAATTATCTGCCAAACCTTATTGAATTTCGTCAATTTAATCTTTCAGGTGGCAGGTGAGAGAAGTTCCAAACCAAGGGCATGGCCCCAGTAGAATCAGGAAGTGAGGGGGCTGGGAGAGACAAAGCTGGCATCACAGTTTGCTCATAACCCAGACACTGACATGCCCCATCAAGTCAGATCTCCCACTGATAACATCCCAAACCATCAGCTCTGGTTTGTTCCCACCCTGCCCAAGCTCACCACCTCGGGCATCCTATGATACTATCTCCTTAAAGCTTCTCTGGCCCACCCATCAGCCTGACCTAGTGCCAGAACCCCACCCACTTTGTAGACGCCTCCGTCAAGTCCACAGAGAGATCACAGTCTACATGGGGACCTCTGGCAGCAGACAACACCCTGATTTCTCAACTTGCATTCTCATTCCAGCTAAAGTATTCAGAAACTATGGCTGATTGAAGAAGCATCTTGCCATGAAACACAAGCTTCTGTGTTGGTGGAGTATTTTGAAAGTTAATCCATCCATCTACATCCATTCATCTATTCATGAATCTACATCCATTCATCATCCAACAAATGTGTTCAGGTCCTGCTCTGGGGTAGGTTCTGGTCTTCCCAAAGTTTATTACAGGGACCAGACTGGTACCATAAATGGAGGCTGTGGGCTAGATGTGAAACAGTAAGAAGTGGTGAAGACTTTGGAGAACTGGGGTCACACAGCCCACATACAGGGCACTACTAGGCTATTTGCCTGCCCTGTCATTGCCCAAAGTCATTAGCTTTTGGGATTCCTCAAGGGAAACCAGAAAGCTAGATTTGTAAGTAAAAATGGCTTGATTTTTAAAATTGGCAACTAATTCCAATTTTAAGAAAACACCATGTAGGCTACACCAAATGTTAATTTCTTCTTTTTTTTATTATTATTTTGACAGAACCTTAAATTTATAGAAAAGTTGCAAGTATAATACAATTAACTTTTTTCCTGAACCATTTGAACATAAGTTGGTGACACAATGCCCTATCACCTTGAAGGCCTTAATGTGTATTTCCTCCAAACAAGGACATTCTCCTTCAGAATCATAATACATCCATCAATGCAGGAAATTAACTCTGATGCATGTAAAATTGAATCCTCAGACCTTAGTAAAAGTATTCCATTTGTCCCAGTACTGACCTTTGTAGCATAAGGGTCTAGTTCAGGACCCTGTTTATCCTGTTTTTTGAGTATCTGTCAGTTTGGAACAGTTCCTTAGTCTTTCCTGGACTCCAGCAACCTTGACACTTTTCAGGAGAACAAGACAGTTACTTTGTGGAATGTCTCTCAGTTTGGGTTTGTTGGGTGACAATTAGATTCAGGTTGGGCACCTTGGATTAGACACAGCTATAGATTCTATGCATCACAAAGATTACAAGAATGATGCTATGTCTTTCTCATTGTAAACAGATGACACGTGATTTTGATTTGTCCCATTACTGAGGATCTTAACTTTGATCACTTGAAGGGGGTATCTTCTGGGATATCCATTGTAAAGCTGTTCTCTTCCTCTATGAAATTAATAAATATTTCGTAGAGAGGTACTTTGAGATGAAGTAAAGATACAATCACTCATCAGACTTTCCATTTATTTATTTACATCATGTGGATTCCATGAGTTCCAGTCCACTATGGTTATTTATTTGGATGCTTAAATTGTCCCCGTTTTGGCCTGTGATAGCCTCTCCAGGATGGCTTCTATGATTTTTGTCACGTCCCCTATCATTCTTTATTCTTTTTTTTTTTATAAAAAACTTCATTTTTTTATTATTTTTGTTCTTGCAGTTTTGCCAGGCTGGGTTTGAACTTACCACCATGTATATGGGGCTGACACCCTACTCACTGAGCCACCAGCACCACCCACATTCTTTATTCTTTAAGTGATT